GTATAATAAATATATAGACTAAACATCGTTCAACCGATTAAAATATATATTATAGGTCAAAAGTTTCTCAATCATGCTCTTCCACATGCATGTTTTTAAATTTATAAAACCAATTAATACAAGATATAGATATATAGTATGATGGAGACAATAAAGCATATATCAATCCAAATCCATGGAATCAAAAATATACATCAAATTCTGAACTAAACAGTCACATTAAATTGACCTACCAAAGACTTTTGGGATCAATCTGTTTGGTTATGTTGCTTTTTTGAGTTGAATTTTCTACCACTACTTTGAACCACATTTATCTACAGTACATTAAATTTAATTTCATGCATGAATTAGAAGCAGTAGAAAAAAGGTTGGGTGAGTTTCAAAAACCCTAGAAGCATTTGAGATTCAATTCACATTGAAATTACCCACCATCTCTTTTACCTATGCTTGGACTTGGTTCATGCATTTTCATGTGCAAACAACTATATATAATATGACACAAAAATGGGTTGGTATGGTAGCTAGCTAACCAATTTTTCTTTCACTATTATAATTTTTTCATCTTAATAACATTATTCTCAAATTTCAATTATATTCACACGGTGGTTTTTATTTTCATTTTCATTTCTATAAACATGTTAAATATCTATAAATGAATTAAATTGATCCAACTTATTAACTTAATGAGTGGTAGTTTATTCATACTTAACAATGTGAATTGAAATAATAAAAGAAAGTAAAACTTTAAATTGTCAAAAAAAATCTGAATATTGTATCTATTTAGTTTTAGTTACTGAAATTTTTTAAGAAAAAATAGTTGTAATAATAATAATAATTAAGTTATTAAAAATTCTCTTCTAATTTCATTATACCATTTTGTCTAGCATTTACTTTGCAAATGCCCTATATATATATATAAGAATTGATAGGAAAAAAATATAGATCAATTAATAAGAGATAAAAATAGAAAAAGCTTAACATTATCAATACCGCTAAGTACCCCTCGTATCTTATCTCTACTTGAGTATGATGAGTATGATATTGTTCATTTTGGACATAACCTTCACGATTTTGTTATTTATTTCACTCAAAAAATCTCATACCAATAAAAATAATTATCGGATCACTCCCTTCTCTAATCAATGTAAGACTTTATTTGCCCGCGCTTTATAAACCCAACCGAAAAAGGGCTACTAGGGACTAGGGAGAAGTTTTCTCAACCCATTTGATCACCTTATATCATTATTTTTCTTAACAGTTTATATCTAATTTAGCATTTTTTTCCCTACCATGACAAGACATTAATTATGCTGCAGAAATTAATAAATTTTATATTTTCATTTTACCTTTTTCTTTTATACTGTTGCGTTTTGTCTTTTATTTTCTAGCATTGAATGGTTGCCTTTTTCTTAAGACAAAAATAAAATATTTAAATAAATGTTATTATAAACCAAAAATTTTTTATTTTATTTTATAATGCTTTATCTCTAGAATAGATAAGCTTTTGAATTTTCAATAAAGTCATAAATAATTATATTTTCGAATGTGCATTCATCCTTTAAAATTTTGAAAAATATTTTAACTTTTCATCAAATCATTTATGTATGTTATTCTAAAAAGATCATTTACAAATAATGGCAATAAAAACTATACTAGGATTATCATTAAAAAAATAACCGTCTTAATAAAAGAAATAGATAATTAAATTAGTTAAGTTTATATTTAATAAATAAATTATATATATGCCTACAACATTCCAAAGTCCAATTAAAAGTGTCATAAATTATTCACCTCATCATTTTAATATTAAAAATACTGTTCTAGAACATTGAACCATCATTTCAATTCTTGTTCCTAGTTCTCATGAGTATTATTGAAAAAAAGATTTGTATTTTATAATAGTGGGTTTTACTTTCATATATTTAAATTACTGTTCTAGAACATCGACCCATCATTCAATTCTTGTACTCAGTTCTAATGAGTATTTTTAAAAAGGAATTCCATTTTACAATAGTGGGTAATTAAATGTGTTGTTATATTTTTATTTTAATACAACATGTATAAGATTGGGGTCTAAACTAACAATTTTTTTTTTTTTGAAATAGGCGGCTTAACCAATTGAGTTAGACTTGTATCGACCTTTTTAACATATTTGAATATGTTTCAAAGTATAACTCTTACTTAAAAGCAACCAAAAAAACAAATAAAAATGAGAATTTTAAAGACGAAAAATTTCCTTAGTTTACAAATGGTTGACAAAACCTTCTTTTCAAATTCAAACTATTTGAAATTTCTTTGGTCTTTACATATACCTTTGCACACAACAAAAGTTGGAATATTATATAGTTTCACACTCTCTTCTACCAAAATAATAGCTAAACAAGACTCTAGTGACTTTTAAGAATTGTTGGATAGAAAAAATTGCAAAATAAAAAGAAATAAATTATTGTTAAACAACCCTTATTACAAATGGGACCTTTGATTGTTGTAAAACTTATGACATATTTTATTTAATGTATTTTTTCTCTGATCATGTATAGTTTCTTTATTCGAGTATCATGGTTTTAATATATATATATATATATATATATATATATATATATATATATATATATATATATATTCTATTGGAAGTCTTTACTTTTCTTTTGAATTTAAAATAGCTTTATTTTTTATTTTTTAACCTTATTTTATGAGATGAAGTTTGAAGGCCTTCCCACAAATAGAATTTTCATATTCAAATATCATCAATTTCTTTGTTTGAACAATGAATATCGACTCAATTTTAGAATCAACCATTTTTGTGTACCCATTTTTCTTTTAATAGCATAGAAGAATTGAATATGCCTGACAAGATCACAAAATAAATGTTTCATGATGATTTATTAACAATTAGTTATAGGAAAAAAAAAAGAATGTCGTATTTTTAAATTTATGGCCACGTATATCATTCTTTCAAATTTTAAAAGATGGAAAGAGAGGAAAAAAAATACTCCCTAAATTAGGGTAAATTTTTGCATGTAACATGTCTATATATACATAAGTATTAAATTTTGTTCTAAATAATTAATATAACTCTTAATATGATTAATAGTCATTCTTTCAAAGAAAATATGATTAATATTCAAATCATCCTTCACAAGTGGACCCCCTTTGCCTAATTTGGATGACATGGAAATGATTTTGTTTTCAACAACTCTTGCAATTCCCTATTTCATTTTCCCTTTTTGATGTTAGGTTTGTGGGTGACTGGTCCTTCCAACTATATATATATATATATATATATATATATATATATATATTTTGTAAGTTGAGGATATTAAAGTAATTAGCATAAAGTTCATCTACAATACAACGATTCGAAGACGAGGATTTGATCCTTCAGACATTTTAGTTGACGATATATACTTTAATCAAACCAATTGAATATAATATATATATTTTATTACCATGAATGTTGAAACTTTATTATTATTAAATTATTTAACTTGAATAGTTAGACATCAGTGATGTTTAGCTTTTACGAAACAACTTTTTGACAACTAAAATTTAGCTCCGTATTTGTTAGATATGACAAGCAAGAAAAAAGAAATTTACTGTTTGGGTGAATTTTATATTTGATATGATCTATGCACCCTAAATGATATTTAATTCTGTTGAGTAATTTAATCAAATTAAGGGAAAAAGAAGACTAGTAAAAGAGAGATGCAATTTGCTTGGGCTCACCTACCCCATGTTATTCGTTCCATCACTCACCTACCTTTATATGTAATGCCATTGCCAACCATCTCTTGACCAATTTTTTTTTTTTTTTTTTGGGAAGAAAATGAATCTTTTTATCAAATATTTTGTTTTTTTCTTTTCAATTAGTTTGTTATCCCCAAGTTCTTACTTTGTTTCTTTTTTACCTCCTTACATTTTCTCTCTCTCCCTCTCCTAAGTTTTAATTTTTTAAAATTATGGGAGAATGCAAAAATATCTCATAAAAAAAATTAATAATAGTGTAGGGTTGTAGCCAGTGCAGTATTTTCCTGATTTCATAATTGACACTACCATCCATCCATTTGAGTTGGGGACTTGAGGTTCCATCAAATGAGCATTTTGTGATTGTACACATATAGATAATGTCTCATACAAAATAAACACGACTTTCAAAATGCAATGCAATATAAAAATCATATATGATTTCAAATATATATAATCCAACTATACAATTAACATTAGACAAAAGATAAGCATTTCGAAAGCCAAACCAATTACCTTTGTAGAATTCAAAAATGTCGGGAGTTATATATATGAAGAAGATGCCTAGATAAAAAGATTAAGGAGATAATTTTTCTTTATAGAAGACCTAAGATGAGATATACATCTGACTTAATGGAAATAATGAGGACTTAATTGAATTTTATTCAAATTTAAATTAAACTTCTAAAAGGATTGCTAAATCTTAGATTAATTATTTAATCATAGAAATTATTAATTGAATGAAACAAGATGTTTTAATCTAACCCAACCTCTCAACTTTCCAAGACCACATTTAAATTAACAAAAATTACAAAAAAAGAAAATTGAAAAATAGATGTAAATGTGTTTGGTTTATGGAAATGGAATCTCTTCCCATTCTCACCGACGGAAACGGAATCCATTCTCCAAACAGAAAGAAAGTCACACCTTCCTCGCACGAGCGCGCGCGCGCGAGCCAGCGAGCCGTTTCATGTCACTGTTGTTAGGTAACCGAGCGCAAAAAAAATCAAAACAAAAACAAAAATTAAAAATTGGACTGACTCATAATATTTAATAAATACAAAATAAATAACAGTGGAAAGGAAAGTGGGTGTTGGGTGGCCAGGTTTGAATATTTTCAACTCAAACAACTACCAAATCCTTTTTCATCATTTTCATTTAAAAAATGTATCATTATTCCCCAATTTTGACATTTCCTAATCCTAATTGATTGGAATAATTCCGCTGCCTCTCTCCCTCTTATAAATCCCCCTTCATTTTCTCCCCCGAAACGACCATCCCCCCTCTCTTCTTCTCTTTCACCGGAGAGTGAGAGTAAAATTACCAAACCCCAATTCTACAATCTGGGTGTGTTCTAATTTCTTCGAATCTTTCAGAACAGGGGAGTTAAAAGAAAATGGAGCGGCGGACGAGCCGGAACTTGAGCCGGAGCATAAGCCGGAGTTTGAGCCGGGCGAGTTGGAGCATGGAAGACGTGTTCGCCAACGGGAACCCTTCGCGCAGAAGCACTCGAGTCGACGAAGACGAAGAGGCTCTGCGCTGGGCCGCCATTGAAAAGCTTCCCACTTACGATCGCCTCCGCACCAGCATCCTCCAGTCCGTCAACGAACCCGACCCCCGCCTCGCCAAGGAAGTCGACGTCCGCAAGCTCGGCGTCAACGACCGCCAGGATTTCATCGACAGAATCTTCAAGGTTGCAGAGGAAGACAACGAGAAGTTCTTGAAAAAGCTCAGGGACAGAATCGACCGCGTCGGGATCCGACTCCCCACGGTGGAAGTCCGATTCCAGCATTTGACCATCGAGGCCGATTGCCACGTCGGAAACAGGGCCTTGCCGTCGCTGCCCAACGCGGCTCGAAACATGGCCGAATCCGCCATTGCTTTGCTTGGCATCAAATTGGCTAAGCAGACCAAACTCACCATTCTCAAAGATGCCTCCGGGATTATAAAACCATCCCGGATGACCCTTTTGCTCGGTCCTCCATCCTCCGGCAAAACCACCCTGTTGCTCGCTTTGGCCGGAAAATTAGACCCAAGTCTAAAGGTAAGGCTCTGATACCATATTAACACAACTCATCCCTCTCTTTGTAACATTTTAAATTTTGGTTTGGGTTACGTTTGATAGGTGAAAGGAGGAGTGACATACAATGGGCACAAATTGAATGAGTTTGTTCCACAAAAAACCTCTGCTTACATCAGCCAAAATGATGTTCATATTGGAATTATGACTGTCAAAGAAACCCTTGATTTCTCTGCCAGATGTCAAGGAGTTGGCACTCGTTATGGTAATTTCATTTCATTACCCCCTCCCAAAAAGATACTAAATTGGTTTGATTTTAACTTTAATTTTAATCTTTTTCCATTTTTGTTGGTACAGAACTCATGAGTGAGCTTGCTAGAAGAGAAAAGGCTGCAGGGATCAAACCAGAGGCAGAGGTGGACCTTTTCATGAAGGTATTTTATTTTATTTTCCAATTGCCAACATGTTTATTTGTAATTTGTATAGAAATTGATGGGAATTAATTACAGGCAACCGCCATGGAGGGTGTGGAGAGCAGCCTGATTACTGACTACACTCTCAAAGTAAGTTTACCGGCTCCTTATGTAGAAGGTCAAAAGGAGGATATTAACAAATCCATAAATATTGGAGAGATAAATATGGTTTTTAATTTTTTGTTAAATATATTTTCCATTTTTTTTTGTCTTTATTTGAAGCAAAATGGTATGGTTGGTGGATTAACTTCCCCTTTTATGACTTTTCAGCATACTTCCAATCCCCAACCACTCTTCCATTCCAAACTCAGCCCCCTTTTCTGATTTTCCTCTCTCTCACCTACTCTCTCTATAGAATAATATTAGGATAAAACTTAGTTGCTCTGTTGATTATTTAAGACAGACAAATGCATTAAGAAAGAGAGAAAAATAAATATGTTCATAATACTTTATCGTCCTTAAAAAATTGACAACTATATTTTCTATTTTCTATCTTCTATCGTGCATTCATTTCTTTTAATGGTCAATTTTTTAATAATGTCATCTAGATCTCATTTTATGGTCCTTTTTTTAAAAAATAAAAAAAAATAATATTGTTGAAATTGTGATACAGATACTGGGGCTCGACATATGCAAAGACACTATTGTGGGAGATGAAATGATACGAGGAATATCTGGTGGACAAAGAAAGAGAGTCACCACAGGTTAATATATTTTCACTTCTTATATGTTTTTTTTATGAAAGAAAATTAATTATTTTAATTGTTTGAAAAAAAAAGAGAGTGGAAATTAAAATATCAATGAGTTGAATGATCACCAACGACATTGTTATATTCTTGCACCTAATGTTATGATAAACTCTATTTCTCACTTCACATTTTCAATAAGAAGCTTTTTAAAATGTTGGTATCAAATAATATAGATAAACCTTGAATGGGCTAGGCCCAATCAACTAAATTACAGAATTCTTCATGCTAGCCCAATTAGCTTTGGATTGGGCCCAAAACGTATCTAAACCGAGTATTACAATTTTGTTTTTATATATATTTTTTACTATACCATGAAAAATTGAAAATGTCGATGAGAATTTAATGGTTTGTTTGTTATTTATACAGGAGAGATGATTGTTGGGCCCACAAAAACATTATTTATGGATGAAATATCAACGGGGCTAGATAGTTCAACGACTTTTCAAATAGTAAAATGCCTACAGCAGATTGTACACTTAACGGAGGGCACGATCTTAATGTCACTACTTCAGCCCGCACCGGAGACGTTCGATCTTTTTGATGACATCATCCTCGTATCGGAGGGTCAGATCGTGTACCAGGGCCCACGCGAACACATCGTTGAATTCTTCGAATCTTGCGGCTTCAAGTGCCCCGAGAGGAAGGGAACCGCCGATTTCTTGCAAGAGGTAACACATCAACGGTCCTCATTGTTTCCCGCTGCTTAATTATCTAGTCCCGCCGCACCTGATTACTACTCAATTAAACGTGATTTAATTTAATTTATTTGAATTGTTTGAATTTTGGTGCAGGTTACTTCGAGGAAGGACCAAGAGCAATATTGGGCTGATCGGAGGAAGCCGTACCGGTACGTGTCGGTGTCGGAATTCGCGGGCCGATTCAAGCGATTCCATGTCGGACTGAGGCTGGAGAACGAGCTCTCCGTCCATTACGACAAGTCGCGTGGTCATAAGGCGGCTCTGGTATTCTCAGAGAATGTCGTCCCCAAAATGGAGCTTCTGAGGGCTTGTTTCGACAAAGAATGGCTATTAATGAAGCGGAACTCGTTCGTTTACATCTTCAAGACTGTTCAAATCATCATCGTAGCCATTATTGCATCTACAGTGTTTCTCAGGACCAGAATGCACACCAGAGATGAATCGGACGGAGCGGTGTTTATTGGGGCTCTTCTGTTTTCCTTGATTAGTAATATGTTCAATGGCTTCTCTGAGCTTGCGATGACCATTTCGAGGCTTCCGGTGTTTTACAAGCAAAGAGACCTTAAGTTCCACCCTCCATGGACCTACACCATCCCTACTGTCATTCTCGGAATCCCCACTTCGATTCTTGAGTCGGTTGTTTGGTTGGTGGTAACATATTACACCATTGGATTTGCTCCTGAGGCTAGCAGGTTGGTGATGGTTGTTGAATTATATTGTGGAAATCTTTGGTGTTCGTAATGTAGTTTATTAACTTTGATTCTTCCAAATTTTGCAGGTTTTTCAAGCAATTGTTGTTGATATTTCTAGTCCAACAAATGGCAGCTGGGGTGTTCCGGCTCATAGCTGGAATTTGTAGGAGTATGATCATTGCCAACACGGGAGGGTCTTTGATTCTTCTCCTTATTTTCTTGTTGGGTGGTTTTCTCATTCCTCGAGGTGAGTTTATAGCATTTGAACATGACATCTAGAAGTAGAACATTTCATAATTAGTCAACATTGATTTGAAAAGATCATCGAAAAAGAGTTTGGGAATAAAGGAGAATTTCTATGTTTGTTATTGTAACAGGGGAAATTCCAAAGTGGTGGATATGGGGTTACTGGATATCACCCCTGACTTATGGTTTCAATGCTATTGCTGTTAACGAAATGTTTGCCCCAAGGTGGATGAATAAGAAGGTATGTCAACCACCCATTCCTTGGAAAGAAAAAGAAAACACATGGAAGAGGTTATTTATAAACATCTTGGGTTGACTGTATTGCAGGTTACAAATAGTAGTATTAGCTTAGGTGTGAAGGTGCTGCAGAATTTTGACGTCTTCCCTAATAGGAATTGGTATTGGATTGGCATTGCAGCTATTCTGGGATTTGCAATTCTCTTCAATATCCTTTTCACCGTCGCACTTACCTATCTAAATCGTAAGAATTCTAGTTTTGCTCTAGTTGTGTGACATATCATTTATATGTTAAAACACTTCTAATCAAACTTATTCTATCTTTCAAATATTAGCACTTACAAAACATCAAGCAATAATATCTGAAGAAACAGCATCAGAGATGGAGGCCAGCCAAGAAGACTCAAAAGAAGAACCTAGGCTAAGAAGACCTATGTCGAAAAAAGATTCATTCCCTCGATCTTTATCAGCTTCAGATGGAAACAATACAAGTAAGAAAAATGAATAGACTAGATCATTTTAACTGTGTGTAGAAATGTCAACTATGTCATTTTTCTTACATGGCCTTCGTTTGAAAATTTTATCAGGAGAAACCGCCATGCAAAGAATGAGTAGCAAATCTAATTCCAATAGAATGAATAGAAATTCCAGTTCCTTGATCGAAGAGGCCAATGGTGTTGCACCCAAGAAGGGAATGATCCTTCCTTTCAGTCCTCTTGCAATGTCCTTTGATACTGTGAATTACTACGTGGACATGCCTCCTGTAAGAAAGAATCTATTTTCGTCACCTTTCGTCCATGATTTAGCATTGAATTTTGTCCATAGTTGATTGTTCGTTCATCACAGGAAATGAAAGAACAAGGAGTCACAGAGGACAGGCTCCAACTTCTACGTGGAGTTACAGGTGCTTTTCGTCCTGGAGTCCTCACTGCACTAATGGGGGTTAGTGGTGCTGGGAAGACAACGTTGATGGATGTTTTAGCAGGAAGAAAAACAGGAGGTTACATTGAAGGGGATATCAAAATTTCGGGGTACCCCAAAAAGCAAGAAACTTTTGCAAGAATTTCTGGATACTGTGAGCAAAATGATATCCACTCTCCTCAAGTCACAATCCGAGAGTCCTTAATTTACTCTGCTTTCCTTAGGCTCCCGAAAGAAGTTAGCAAAGAGGAAAAGATGGTGAGAATTGAGAATGATATAATTTCCTCTTTTAAACAGTCCATGAGAAATATATACTAAATTTGTGCGTTTTTGTTATGTCTTTTCTAGGTCTTTGTGGATGAGGTAATGGACTTGGTGGAGTTGGACAACCTTAAGGATGCCATTGTGGGGCTACCGGGAGTTTCAGGGTTGTCAACAGAACAAAGAAAAAGATTAACGATTGCAGTCGAGCTTGTTGCTAACCCTTCAATCATTTTCATGGACGAACCAACTTCAGGCCTCGACGCTAGGGCAGCTGCCATTGTGATGAGAACTGTTAGAAACACTGTGGACACTGGAAGAACAGTGGTCTGCACTATTCACCAACCTAGCATTGATATTTTTGAAGCCTTTGATGAGGTAATGCATTTCTCCTTTCTCTATGTGTCCCTCTTTCTGAATCCAACCCTTGAATGTGTGATACTTATTTAAGATCTTGTATTTCAGCTACTATTAATGAAGAGGGGAGGTCAAGTGATCTACTTTGGACCTCTAGGTCGCAACTCTCACAAAATCATTGAATATTTTGAGGTACTTAATTTTCCTTTATTCCATCTTTTTTTCTTGAGTTAAACATTAGTTTTCTAATTCTAGATTCATTGATTTGTAGTCAATTCCTGGAGTGCCAAAAATCAAAGAGAAGTACAATCCAGCTACCTGGATGTTGGAAGTAAGTTCTATTGCAGCAGAAGTTCGACTTGGAATGGACTTTGCTGAACATTACAAATCATCATCCTTGTCTAAGTAAGTATAATTTAAATGACACCAAGAAGTATTTGGTTCCAACTTTTTATTAAATTCTAAACGAATCTTAACGAAACAGGCGAAACAAGGAATTAGTGACAAATTTAAGCACGCCCCCGCCGGGAGCAAAAGACCTTTACTTTGAAAGTCAGTATTCACAATCAACATTGGGGCAATTGAAATGTTGCCTTTGGAAACAATGGTGGACATACTGGAGAAGTCCAGACTACAACCTTGTTAGATACTTTTTCACCTTGGCTGCTGCTCTCATGATTGGTACAGTTTTCTGGAAGGTCGGCACCAAAAGGTACTTTATTATTTCCTCCTTAGCAATCACCCCAATGATTTACATGTTGTGCCATTTGAGAACTTGTGTTCTGACATTGTTCTTCACGAATCTTTCAGGGAAAGCTCAACCGATCTCACCATGGTCATCGGTGCCATGTATGCTGCTGTATTATTTGTTGGAATCAATAATTGCCAAACTGTACAACCCATAGTATCTGTGGAGAGAACTGTATTCTACAGAGAAAGAGCTGCTGGAATGTATTCTGCACTACCTTATGCCCTTGCACAGGTAAACTACATAGATTTAGTTAGATTTTTTTTTCCTTATCATCAAGAATCTAAAAAAGAGTTGCTCTTTGTGCCCACGAGTCTTTTTATGTGATGAAAAAAGAAGTAATAGTTGAAATGGAATGATGATGTGAATGCAGGTGTTGGTAGAGATCCCATTCATTCTAGTTCAAACAACATACTATACTCTTATTGTGTACTCCATGGTTAGCTTCCAATGGACTGCTCCAAAGTTCTTCTGGTTCTACTTCGTCAATTTCTTCTCCTTCCTCTACTTCACATACTATGGAATGATGACTGTATCCATTACACCAAACCACCATGTAGCAGCCATCTTTGCAGCAGCTTTCTATGCACTCTTCAACCTCTTCTCTGGCTTCTTCGTGCCGAGACCGGTAAGGCACTTGTTCTCCATCTCCTCTTTAACCTTTGAATGTTTTGAGAATCAACTTAAGCCATCCCATCCCATCCATATAAAACGCTAATGAAATAAATTACTTGAAACTTCAGAGAATTCCCAAGTGGTGGGTGTGGTACTATTGGATCTGCCCTATAGCTTGGACCGTGTACGGGTTGATCATATCGCAGTACGGAGATGACGGGACTGAGATACGAGTGCCTGGAATGGTTGATAAAATACCTATAAAAGCTTACATCGAAAGCCACTTCGGATACGATCCGAACTTCATTGGGCCAGTTGCAGGAGTTTTGGTAGGTTTTGCAGCCTTCTTTGCCTTCATGTTTGCTTACTGCATAAAGACGTTGAACTTCCAAATGAGGTAAAGAAGAACCAGTGAAAGTGAAACAAACACACTCTCCGTATCAAAATACATACTCAATTCTTATAATACTTAGAGAATGTAAATATTAGTAAGTAAGAATGTAATGACGATAATTTTCGATCATTCCAAAAGTTTTGATATTAATATTTGTACGTTTAAATGTAAAGGGATGTTGGATTGTCTTAAATTAAAGCAAGCAAATGTTTCTATGACATCTCCCCAAGCTAGCATGAGATGGCATTTTTTTTTTCTTTTCCTCTATAAAATAAAGTTTACCCTCACAATAATGAAGATTGTTTTCTTTTTTTAAGTTATTTTAAGCTGCTAATTATTTGTCTACCAAGTACCAACATTTGTTCATGTAATCATGCCATAATTTTATTAACGATATCAATAGACAAATATATATTTTAGTGGATGAATTAAAATAATGGCTTATAATTTGTGTAGGAAAAAAAATCAATAATTACCGTCAAACATACTTAATCAAATTTAATTTGACCTTAAACTTTCAAGTCTCGACAAATGTTGCAATTTTAATGTTGGAATCAATTTTTGTTGTCAACGTGAGGATAGTCGATCAAGGATAGAAGGTATAATTGCACCTCTCCCATGACAATTTCTGTTTCTGCCCTAACTTTACATAATATAGATTAACGATGGGATTGGTCACATCAATCTACAACTAAAGTACGTAAACCGTATTACATGTTTTCAAAAATGTATTTTCATCATTTCTACCGTTGAATCATAGAATCTAAAAATAATTTAAAAAAATAACGTGGACAAATATTCACTAAATTCATTCATACATCATACCAAACAGATCCTTACTTGTAGACATTTTATCCACCATCCATCCTCTTCCCAGGCTTGCATTTATTTTTATTATTATTGTTATTATTATTATTATTATTATTATTATTATTATTGATAATCTCAAAATAAGTCATGGAAGTAATAAAAGGAGCAGGAATGGAGCCAAATCACAGCACCAAATGGCATGTTCTAAACCATTTTGGTTATGATCTCAAACTTCATGGGCCCAACAGCTGCAATTTTGGCTGCTTTTTTACTACTTTTTGTTTGCTCTCCATGTGAGCAGTTTGCATAAAAAATAGCAAACTTTTAAGCCCATACTTCTTTCAATTACTCAGAATAAAATTGTAAATTAAACTATATTAATTTCGAAACAGATAATAGAATTATCTATTTATGAGCTCGACCAAAAAAAAAACATGGAAATTCAAATCATTCAATTAAAACAAAACAAAAACACATCTCATACAAACTAAAACATTAATGTTTAAGGTATCTCTATGTCTTCCAAGAGGTGTTTTTCTTTTCATGGAGTAAACCTCCTCCAAGAGCTTTTACGTTTAAATTCTCACCTGTATTTGTGTTGTAATATCCTAAAGACCAAAAAGGAAAAAAAAAAAAGTTAATTACAAATTTAGTTCCAACTTGTTCTTCATTATTTTAAAATTTGAATTTAGTTCCTAAAATTCAAGTTTTGTACTATTTTATCTTTATGATTAATTTAAATCTAAATCAGTTACAAAATATCGTGATATTAAATATACATGATATGTTTTTAATTTACCTAATGATAAACTGGTATTTAGAGTTTAATATTGAATATAAGAGAAAAAATGGTTATAAATCAATGGTAAAGTTTTAACCAAATTATAGAGATTAAATTGAAACTTTAAAACCATATAAACTAAATTGAAACTGATTACAAACCGTATGACCCAATTGAAATTAAAAAAAAAATCATAAGAATTAGATTCATAGTTTAACCTAAAATAGTATTATAAAATCTTTTTTTTAAGTAGTACTCTCATAATATTAAAAAAGAATTTAATGGCGAACATGGGCTGACGAGTGACGTTGACAGACGCAGCGGCCCCACTCGTTGATCCAAAATTAGAGGCAGCGAGTCGACGCGGCTCTCCTTTCACCACCAACTCCCCCCAATTTTTAGCCGCCCATCTTGATTTTCTCCCTTTCCTCTTTTACCCTCCAAAATCAAAATCAATACTATATAATATAATATAAATATATAACATCTTCCTTTATTTTGATTTTAAGTCATCTGGGTCTTTCTGCCTTCAAAATTTTTATTTTAGTTTCTAAATGGTAAGGAATACAATCAAAATCTTACATTAGTTGGAATGTAAAGATACATAATATATAAATAAAGACAATTATCTCTTTATATGTGTGAAACCTGTTATGAAGTCTTATATTCAAAGTATACGATATCATCCATTATGAAAATCCAGAAAAGTTTGTTGTCTTCAACCTTAACTTTGAAAAACTAATCATTTTGAACTCTGAACTTTCGTTCAAGGAATGGTTGTCTTTTTAAAGTTTGAAGATTAAAATATATATTTTGTAAATTTCATAACCAAAATGAAATAAATCTAAAAATTCAAGGACCAAAATGCGAGATCACAGCAATGAAATTTAAACCTATAATTTCTCTATTTTGTTAATATCCAAATTTGCCCCCAATTATTGTTTGTTATATCATGATTCATGTGACATGTTTTTAGGGTCAAATTTATCATTTTCTTTTCATATGTTTTTTTCCTTGAGCTTCTTCATTTACTAATTTGACTTTAGGACGAATCCCCCACCCCATCTGTACTCATAANACCTTTAGGATGATATTTTATATTTTGCCAACCACACAACTAAATTAATTACACGACCACGTCAAAATAATAATAATAATAATAATTACACGACTTTTAAGATTGCGTGACAACATGTGGAGTCTACTTCAAAGGACATTATTGTAATTAGGCTTAATAATTATGTTTACCTAGTCTGAAAAATCAAACCATTTGTAAATGTTTAACATATAAAAATATAAATATCATAATTTGATTTACAATTTCTTTCCTCTCGGGATTATTTTTTTTCTTCGTCGTAAACATACTTCAATTACTGTTGAACTACATTTATGTTGGCAGAAAATGTACATATTTAAATTATATTTCGGTTGACATTTATATTCTAATTTGTGAGTATAAATATCATATTTCCCTTCTAAATTGGAAATTATTGTCTCACTTACCCCTAAAACCTATGGTTGGGAAAGTCGTTACCATCAATGGCTCATTAATGCGACCGAAAACATATTGTTTTTGATATAGCTAAAGTGGCACTAGTTTCTTTTTGTTTAAAAATTAAATCTTTATTATTAATGTCCGCTCGAATTCGAAAGATCAAGATATTGATAACCTCCGGTAGAACTAGAATTCAAATGTTCAAATTTTCATCTGTATAACAAGAATTATAATACTAAAAAAGACAACGTGTCAAACACTTTCGTAAGGATTTGGTTCGGTTCTTCTTTTCGGGAGACGTGAAATTTCGACATCTAGCGATTTGAAGAAAAGTTAAGAGAAGTGAGGGCGAGAAAAAGAAAGGAATTTGAATTTGAATTTTTAGAGGGCGGAGAAAGCCAAGAATTTGGCATGGATTACCATACAAAACCAAGAGCTGCCATTAAGGTCGCCACCAGTCTCTCTCTGTATTCAGTTTTCTCATTAAAAACCTTTTAAATGACCACAGACTTTGACACTTGACAACACTTGGACGTTGTTTTCTAACACTTCTTTTTGTAATTTTCAATTCTAATATACCAATCCTCCTTTTATTTTATTAATTAATTCTAACTTTTAAAATAAATATAACTTAGGTTTCTGGGATTTTTGGTATTCCAAACAAAATCATTTCATGCTGACATATTAAAAACTACAGATATTATTTGAGAATATGTCATGTGTAATACATTCTCTATTGTCGTGTTCTTTTATAACTTAGGAGCCTTCGAGAATCATTCCCACTTTATTTTTTGTGTAAGATATTTGTTTGCTTGTTTAGTCACTAATTGTATTTGATTCTTTTTTCTTTATGTTTTAAAAAGTTGAAAATTTTGCAATATCAAATTTGAAATTGGTATATGTATATTGAATCTTGTTTATTTAAACTAGACTTTAAACTTTTAAAAGAATTAATTAGCGATGGATTTTAGGTTATATAATTCCATTCAATCTTTGTTATTAACATTATTAATATATCTATTGGTTTATCAAGTTGTTTGGGTTTGTCCCATCGTCATCGACATGAATATAGTTTAATTGATTAAAATATTATATGCCTTTTTTTAAAATGTCAAATGTTCAAATCTCTCCGACCCTTTTTGAACTCAAAAAAGAAAAGTTGTTCGTAACATTACATTAATTTGGCCAATTATTTAATTGACATGTTACATAAATTTCTCAAAGACATACATTAATTTCATATTAATAATGTTAATATTGTAGCCGACATGAATTTAGGTTAATGATAATTGGCACATATCTCTGACTACGAGGTTATGAGTTCAAACCTCCCACCCTACATATTGTACTAAAAAAAATTAATGTTAATATCCTAAATTAAAAAGAAAGCATAATATACCGTTTAAATATATAATTAAAATTATATAAAATACAAAAGTGGAAATAGACATGGCTATTTTGTTTTTGAAAAAGCTAAATTCCTTTGCCTAGGATGCCCTTTGAAGGCTAAAAGAAAATTGTAGTAAGTGCAAGGGATCTAGGTTTTGTCGTAACATTCAAACAGCCCACCCCTTCAATTTTACTAGGTCGGAAACAACAGACCTTCCAATACATTTTTCTACGATAAGATGATATTGTCCACTTTAAACATAAGTCTTGTGATTTTATTTTTTATTTCACCTAAAATATGTCATATCAATGGAGATTTTATGTCTCACACGTATACTCATGATTTGCGCTCCTTGTAAATCTAACAATTCTCCCCTCAAACAATAATCTACCATCGAGTCTTCCCCCAAGTAATAGTTATCCATATGTTCAACTCTATCGGACTAACCTGCTAATTTTGCAATCAAGTACGTCATTGTAACTTCATTTAATAGAATTGATAGTGAATTAAAAAATGCAAACACTATTGAACTAAAATAATAATTGTTGTTCAACTTGAAGATAGTTGAATTAGTTAAATACACGGGTTAACCTTTTTTAAAATTTAATAGGTTCTTATATTCACCTCCACCTTTTGTCACAAAAGATCTTTTGTTGTTGCAAAAATGTCCCTCAAATCTACACAATTCTTGCAACCGAGTTTAATCACCCATTAATTTTTTCGGTTAATTATTCAAATTTGAAGTATAAGAATGTCATTGTAGCAAACCCTATAGTTTCATACAACTAAGATTCAAACTAAAAAAAATTAGATA